CTCTGTGGATCAAACCAACACCTTAAAGTTAATCTAGAAACCCATATGCAACAGTGCACAGCTTGTGGTAGAAGATGCTTGCCTATGCTGTCTCATACCAAGCAGCTCTATGATGCTGGAAAAGTCTTTTTTAAATCCCAAAACATTATCATATATACAGACTATGCCAGCATGGAACCCCAGTATGAAGCAATGTTAAGACATTTTTCTAAAAGGTCTTCTCTAGATTGACCAAAAGTTACAGGCTTGATACAGAAATTTCTTGCTAACTTTCTTTAGCTTGTGTGATGCAGCAGATTAGAGGATGATATTTTCCTTCTGGCCTATAAGAATCTATGAATAATGCTGAGCTTCTTTATACCTCTGTAAAGAATTTTTTAACAAGAAGCTTTTATCCTTTCTGTTTTGCTTTTCTAGTTTATTCAGTGGAATATTCACAAAAGTGGCTCCAAAGTATCTGAATATGCTCTTCCCAGTGATGCCACAGGCCCTTTTGTGCTGTCAGGGTACAGTGGATACAAGCAAGTCCAAGTCCCACGAGGGAGACTTTTTGCCTTTGACTCTGAGGGAAACTACATGTTGACCTGTTCTTCCACTGGGGGCGTCATCTACAAGGTAACAGTTTGAAAAGTGACTGGCATGATTTGGACAGGTCAAAACAAGCTTCCTTATAGAAAACTGCAACCTTAGCTGCTTTTTTTTTTTTTTCTTAATAAGAATCTATTGGGGCTTGAGCCAGTAAAGACCCCCAAACAAGTAATTGAACCCTAAGCCTTCTATGTATAGATAGTCTTTGTTAAAATAGCTGATTTTTTTTTTTTTTTTTTTTTTTTTTTTTTTTAAAGCAATTTTCCTTACTAGGAAGGGTATGGTGTGTGTTGGACAGGATACAGATTTATACTGGCTAGGGGTAGCTTAGTGCCAGGCTTGCATTTTTAAGTTATATTTAGCTGGCCGGTGGTGTTCTTTACTTCGAGATTTCTATAGTCCTTTGCTAATTCAAGCATGAGTCTTTCCTTTTTAGGGCATGGCCATTTTAAAGTGCAGCAAGGGAGAGAGACGGTTCATTTTTCTTGCCATGTATGTGTTGCTCAAAATCCCAATTTACCTTTAATGTATATTTGAAGTGTATGTGCTGATTACGACTCCCAGGCTTTAGATTCTCTTGAAGACAGGCTGTTGCTGCTCCGGAAACCTGCTTTATTAATGTCTTCTTTGTCTTCCACCTCTTGCAGTTGAACAGTGATGAGAAGATCCTGGAGAGCTGCCTCTCCCTGGGAGGTCACAGAGCCCCAGTGGTCACTGTGGACTGGAGCACAGCCATGGATTGTGGGACTTGCCTCACAGCCTCAATGGATGGAAAGATCAAATTAACAACCTTACTCGCTCAGAAATCATGAACAGTGGTTGGGAAGAGAGAGATGCATTGCAAAATCAGTGTTAACTACAAAGGAACAAACTACATAGAGGGGAAGCAAACTACAATCTCTCTTCTCATTTTGGCTTCACCTCAGACAAACTTTTCTTTATAAGCATCAAGCCACTGCGCAATAAGATCCTGTTTGGTTACTGGAACAGCAGCAGTACTGCAGTCATTTTAGGAAGTATGTTCTTTTCTGGTAACTGAGTTCCCTTGATTTTGGAGGCTCAAGTAGTACGTGGCTCTAATTCCTTGGGATTGTGCGAAGGTGAAAGGGCAGATGGAGATTGGATGCAAATGGCGAAGAAAGTTGAAGAGCATCTGACACAAATGACTCTTGATGAAAATGCCTGTGTGAAACTAGCAGCATTGTGTGTAATTTTTTTCTTAAAATGTTTTCTTGCATTTGACTGGTGTGTGTGTATTGCTGCAGTGGATTAATGCATTAAGGCCAGAAAGCCACAGTCATGGTTATGAGATCTGACAACACAGGCCATCAAAGGTTTATGCAGTGATCCCTGCATTTGGAGCACTTGCCTATGGATTTAACTAAAGCAGGGGTGGCCAACCTACAGCATGTGGCACAGACAACCTTGATGTGTAACACGCAGCAGACTGGAGTGGGGGCAGGCAGCACAGTAGCAGATAGGGCAGGGAGCAAACAGCAGAGCAGCAGATCAAGCAGGGGGAGGGGACTCGAATGGCACTCAGAGGGTACAGGGCTAATTCCTGGCATGCCTGCCAAAAAAAGGTTTGCCCTTACTGAACTTAAGAACATCAGACCGAACCTGAACTTGAAGTTAATTGGGTCTCTTGTAATCTGCCTGGGCTGTACTGAAAGCTTGTTCTGGTCACTAGGGCTAACACCTGGGAAGTAGAAGAGCTGGAGTCAGTGTCTAAATATCTGCTTCGATTCAGGTGGGTTTCCCACATTCTTGGTGAGTGTCTTAGCATAGGCCCTGAGGTAAAGGGTCATAGTCTCTGTCTTACCCAATGAATGTGTGACTGTTAACAAACTCAATAGCTCCAACAAAAGACAGAATAAGTCCATGCTCTGAATCAGTCAAAGTAGAGACTTAGACAGGGGTCTCCTACTCCCTGCAGCGGAGCCAGAGGAAGGGCTTGTTTCCTGGGTCTCTACAGGCCAGGTGAGTGGGCCGACCAAGCATAGGAGCCTCTATGGGGCATCATGTCGAGTGTAGGCAGACCTATGGGGTTATGGTGGGAGCAGGGAGACGCTGTCTCGGTGCAACATCACAGAGCATCTGCTTGGGCGACATAGCTGCTGGGTGCTTGCCCAACCGAAAATCCCCGGGGAGAGGAAGGGGAAAGAACACTGATTCGCTGCTCTTCTATCTGATCACTTTTGCTCTGCCTTCTTCCCTAGAAGATGGGGGGGAGGGATGGAGAATGGGCACTGCAGCGGGGCTGCCTTTCTCTCTGGGTGTTACAGGAGGGAAATGTCAAACAGCCCGCCTGCTCCCTGTGTGGGT